CCATCCCTGGAAACATCCCAGGTCAAGTTGGTTGGGGCTCTGAGCAACCTGACCTCGAAGATGTCCCTGCTCACTGCAGGGGGGGTTGGACTAGATGACTAAATAAGCTTAAAAGGTCCCTTGAACCCAAACTATTCTATGATTCTAACTGGTTCTCTCACCTATCCCAACTCATGAGCTCATCTTTTACAAAATATGTTCCACCAGCTAGCTGTGTATACGTCCCCTCCTGCGGTGCTCTACACGTAAAGGCAACTATTGTCATGCACTGTTCTTTTACAGTCTGTCAGCAGAAATACATTCATATAATTAAATCCATGTTCAAGAAACGTTAAGTAAGTTGCCATGACAAATTCTGTATGTCATTCTCACACCATACAAGTTTGAAAAAGCTTAATCTCAATCATGTTTGTGCACAGTTTTATTGCTTTGAACGGAAATGTTCTGGATGTAATGAATCATATTTGTAGATACAGCGTATTTGTAGAGATAGGACAGGAGTCCAGGGAAAATGAAGCTGAGTACAAGTATCCACCCCCTGCTGCATCAGCTATCGAACAAAGATAAGAGTGTCTGCCCTAAAGTACATCAATATGTCAACATGGATTACAGGAGCTGCTAGTCTTTGGCTCATTATCAGATTACTGCTGGGAATGCCACACCTGACGTACCTCTGAGCCTTCGAAACAAGTCACTGTCATGAGAATGTCGTTAAAGTTCGTGCAGCTCCATCTCAGCACGTAAAAAATCCCTTCCTGTCGCAGTTTATTGATGGCATATTCCGTGCTGAAAGAGTCAATGTACAAATGAGGAAAATCAACAAATGAGCAGTTGCATCCAAAATCTATTCATAAATACATGAGAGAGTAATCCTGTATTTGGAACAAAAATGTATAACAGCAACTTAGAAATATTTATAATAATTATTAAAACATTATTTAATTGTGTGCATTACATATGCTCACATTTAGCTGGAAAAGATCAAGGGAAGAAAGTTTTATTAAGCTTTTAACATGATTCATGGGGAAATTCTGCATGCAGCACAATGCACACGTAAGTTCTCAGTTTTCCATATATTGCACCTTTGAACATAAAAGGAAAAGCCAAAAAGGTGAGCAGAAGGGAAAGTAATTCCTTTAGCTCTTTCAAAAAAACCAAAGGCTTTGTGCCTCCATCCAAGGACTCCCAGGATCAGTGCAGATACAGTTCAACTTTGTTTACCTAAAATATTCCCATCTGTTCAGCTGACAATGATCTTTATAGCTATTACTGAAGTAAGCCTCAAAATACTCCATAGTGAGGAAACACCAGTTTTATAGATGAGTAAGTTGATGTGGAGAGGAACAGTTGTATTTTTTCCATATAATCATTAGAAAAAGTAAGTTGTTCCACAGTCTTTTGTTAACTAACAACCCTCCAAGTGTCAGATTTCCTCAGTTGATTCAATATGCAGCAGTACTAGAGGACTAATTATTCAAGTGGAAAAACTAAAATCAATGTTTTACTAACCAAATGGGTCCATGGCATCCATTTTTTATGTTGTGCTCAATCAGTGGAGGAGCCACATCTGTGCAGAGGTAATGGTGGGCATCTGCTGTAAGTCTAAAGTACCCGTCTACCAACGATGCAAACGACAGGGCCTCATCATGTGAGGACAGTTTTAATTCCTACAACAAAAAGCTATTTTAGCCAAGAATTCTTACAGTTCTGTTAAAGCATTTCAGGAGTGTTTTAATATCCAGCAATTTTTGCATATAGTGGCTAAAAAATTGTCCAGAAACCTATGACAGAAACCATACATCCTTAGGGAGCCAATACCGACCATTCTCTATCCTCCCCGCTCATTACTGGCTAGAAACCTCCATTCTCCACTGGTGGTATACAGTAACAAGTGTAGAAAAACAATGTGCTCACCAACTTGCTGCTCTTCTAACCAGTACTTCTGCAACAGTCTTGAGGAGAGCATATTTAACTGTTACCTTTATATATATTCCATTAGAAAATGCTCCTCAAGGAGGTTGTAACCTGTTGCCCAACAACACTGTGTCACTACAGCTTCCCATGGGAAGGAAACCTATCCAAGGTTTGGTTCTTACCATCCTTTTGTTATCCTGCTTGTTAATGCTAACTGTAGACTCCTTGATGACAATGTGGGTGATTTCAGGAAAATAGGAAAAATTGTTCCATGAGTCGCGAATTTTGTGTTTTTCTTCATCCTTTTTGTTTTTGCCATCAGACTTTTTCTTCTTCTCTTTCTCTGTCTGAACAGACTGCAAATATATTTTGGATAAGAGTATACTAATAAAAACATATTTTTTTAGCACAGTGTTTTTACACTAAAAAAAAATTCACTCCAATCTAATCCAGCTATTTTATTCTTGAATGCTTTTTGCACTGAATTATCAATTCATTCACATGTTCAGTGTGTCTGTATTGCAAGGACATACGTCTGTCGAGAACTGTCCACAAGACAGTTTCCATATCAGCTGGGTAACTTACGTCTCTTTCACTATGCTAGGAATAACTTCAGCAGCAGCACAGGCCTGAAAGGGTTCTACTGAAATTTCTAAATTATGTACTTGAAATATTCTTTCAGAGTTCAGCCCAAAAGCAAGAGCCACATTCTTCAGTGCATGCCTGAACTGCCAACAGCAGATGAAATTCTACATGCAGACCACAATGAAGCCCAAGCATCTTACAGGTCAAAAATTATTGAAAATTACTAGTAACTACTTATCGTTCAGGCTGAGCAAAGCTTCCAGCTAGTCACAGAAAGGTACTCTGAGATGAAAGTCTTTGGTTTAAGCATTTAAATAAATATAATTTATAAATCAGCAGAAACAGGAGCCTTACAAGTAACAGGCTGCACTTCTTCCAAGCTTTTCTGCTCAAATATCCGTTCTTCCTTCCCTCCTCCCCATTAATACTATCATTTAAAACAGGAATTCTCCATCAGAGATAGAGATAGTTAGGTTACATCTAAACGGAGTGAAGCACAGTCCTTTCTATGCTACAACAGATAGCTACCAGTAGGGTTCTCATCGCTGTGGGGAACCAAGGCAAGCAAAAAGAGGTCTGTTCAAGCATTGTATGTGGAGAAAACCTGTGGAATATGCCACCACCCCTTCAAACCTAGAGCATATTATGTACACAAGGTACAGAAGAGGTTAAGCAAAGTCACCTCAATTAGCAGCACTGAAACAAGGGACATGTAAAATATCACTGATGTGAGAAAGCTTAGCTTTAATGTCACTACGTTTTCGTTTATTGTGTTGGGCTGGCATGGCAAGGGTTTGGTAGTGGGGAGGCTGC